TCAAGATTCTCTATGTAATTACAAAAAATGTCACAGTTTGGGCAACTAGGAGCATCTTGAGACAAATTTTCATGCTTTTCTGTATTCTGTACAGTGTTACATTCTGTCTGTTTTAATGTACAAGCTTTTTTAACAGATAAATCAACATTCAAAATCATTTTGTTGAATATTCTTACTAAATTTAAGATGTTAGATATCTTTTTACGCTGTCTGTGCACAGTAAATCTAGATTTATCTATCTGAATATTGGCCTGTAAACATTCGTTATACATATAGTGCCATAGCTGACTGTCTTCAGGATATAAAGAAACATCTTTAAACTCTAGCTTACTTTCATTAACTAAGTCATCAATAAACTTCCATAATTGTTACTCACCGTAATCAGAAGATTTTCTCGTTTGACCCGGCTCAGTCACTGGACCTCTCGTCCAAGTCTGTTTAATCGCCTGTTCTGCTAGGTTCTTTTCACCGTGTTTTTTCCCAAAACTTGACAATCACAGAATCGTGCGTTTTTCCCCCTTAGCAAGGTATGGGAAAAAAACCGTAGAAAAAAAAACGTTCGGCGGTGGCTGGCTCACCAAAATGTTGGATTTTTAGACACATATAATACTTCTTCTAGTGTCTTGAGGCGATTATGAATGAAAGAGCCATTGAAATAAAAAATGAAGTGTGATTTTATTCTATCACACAATGGTGTCAAATAACAATGTAAAGCGTATTATGAACAGTTCCATGTAGATAAAACTACTGTAAAAATGACAAGCAAATGTTTAAAAACAAAGTCACCATTATCTGTCATGGCTGTCCTTGCCATGTGCGATTCTCATGTCCTTGTCCAACTCAATGACTTTGTTGAAGAAGAGCCGGAAGTAGACGGATATGATGATCTAGCAGCAGTATGCACCTGTTGCAGCTTCTCAGACGTGTGTATGCAAGAGTTATGTAGCGTGTGTAGTGTGTGTGTGTGTGTGAGAGTCTCTGTCCCTCAAGGCCCCCTTTATGCAGCATGAGTGTGTCATCTTAATACCTTGTATGGCATAGAAGGGAGGGGATGACACTCACATAATGTCTTTGATGGACAGGAACATATGTATGCTGATGTACATAATATTATAAGCTAATGACGTAAATGTATCAATGTTAGAAACGTATACTAAATACAATACACAGATACCATTAAAATACGTAATGTAATAGTAAGTCACTTCTAATAACCTTGACATAACTAACAGATACTTTTAACCAACTATAGTATACTCAGCCTAAACTTGTATATCTTTTGGTCTCAGCTATAATTGAAGAATAGTAAATACTACCATTTGCAAAGACCATTCACACATATTAATATTAATTATGACTAATCATAAAAACCAAATATTTTGCAAGCTTGCCATCAATATAAGTGCCGAATCATAATTTAGATTTAAAGCACACTCTCTTGTTCTCTCTTCAAAAGTAATTCAGACCAGATGACTTCTCTTAACCAATAACGTCTTTTACTGAATAATATAGTTGTATTGACAGTTCTGTGACAGCTCCATAGGAACACGTTCAGTGCAACATTCAGAGTCCATGTTATAGTCTCATTCTTCCTCTACAGCAGGTGTAGGCAACCTTAAAGAGGTGGAGACCTATCTGAACAACATGGGAGAAATCAAAGATCACCGGGCACAGTTTTGTCTCCTCCGACCTGATTTAAACCTCCAATCGACTTTCGTCTCACAATCGCATGCATTGCACAGCAATCATGGGTTTAAATCAGGTGGTGAGGAGGCAACATATCTCCTCCTCACCACCCGTCAAACACACTTGGATTGCTTTGTGCCTGCAGCACTTGTGAATGAGTCCTTAGTTGCATCTGACAGCGGCACCCTTAGGGCTTGTTCACACATAAAGGTGGGTGGTGGTAAAACCCTGTAGTTGAGTCTCCATTTTACTGCCCCCAATCATTACGGTCTTTAGCTGCTGAGGCAGCAGCCAAATGTGTTCACATGTTCCAACCAGAATTAAACCCCCAGTTGTTATTGGTGGGTACTACCTCCTGCCAATCACAACATATTCAAGTAAATGGGGCCACTCTGCAAGCACCCTGCGACTGCATGCTTTTGCAGGGTCCAAGGGGTTAAAGCAGTTGTTGAGAAAGCAACACACCACTGCCTGTTTAATTCCTGTACTGCACACGGTGGCAGGGCACTTGCAGAGTGGCCTCATTCACTTGAATGGGTCATGTTTGGCAGGTGCTACACCAGGGGCGGACTGACAACTCATGGGGCCCCCGGGCAATAGGGGATCATGGGGCCCCTGTGTTCTTGCCCAAACTCAAAAAAGCCTATGAAAAAGGTACCAGGGGCATCTCATGGGGCCCCCTACTGACCCCGGGACCTCAGGCAGTGCCCGAGTTTCCAAATAGTCAGTCCGCCCCTGTGCTACACCCTACAACCATGACAGGGTGTAGGAGCAGCACTTCAAAGATGGCACCGGCTTATACGACTTACCCTCCGTTCACATCAAGCCCGACTTTGAAATCGTGTGACTTACAGTGAAGTAGCACAATTTCAAAGTCGAAGGACTCGCCTATTTGAGGTGCGATTTGCAAGACATCTGATACAGTTGTCTATGTAAATCGCACCAAAAGTACTGCATGTACTTCTTTTGAAAGCGGTGCGGCTCCGACCAAGTTGGAACCACACCGATATGACCACTCTAAAAGTGGACAATAGGGTCCAACTTGGCATAAGATTTGCAAGTTGCAGGGCATGCAAATCGCATGCCAAGTCACATACAGTGTGAACCAGAGCTTACAGTAGTTCCTCTGCATTGCACTCTGTTTGTTGCTCTGGGAAGGTGGGTCAGCAAGCCCAGACCATAATCTACAAGTCACCTGGTCATGATCTACTGGTTTCTGACCCTCTGTTCTACAGGCTATACAGGGCTTTGGCTGTGCTGTGGTGTCCATACCTTTCAATAGATTAGAATAGCTGTTAAAATAGCTCCTCTTCAGGGTCCAGAAACGATGGCTGTATTTGCAGCCAGGGTGGATAAAAATCAATGATTTTTAAAAAAAAAAAAATTTTAAAAATCGGATTTTTTTTATTTAAATCGGATTTTTTAAAATAAAATGCCTTTTTGAGGAAAATATATTACCATCCAAAGGTTATTCCATCATGAAATAAAGATTCGTTTTTTAATTATGTAGAATAAGGCTGTATATGTTTAATTGTTTTGGTAAATAAATTCCATGAATCCATTCACAATGTCATGCTCTTCCAGAGGTTTTTGTAAGATTATTGGGCAGTTTCTCTGCCTACAAGATATTATCACAGATGATTGGTTTACTTTTGCAGTTCTCAAAACTGAATTGGACTCAGCGGAGATCACATGCCTCTTCTTCACAGCAAAAATGTTATAACATGAACAGAGTTAAGAAAAAGACCTTCATCCTAACTTCTACAAACCTATGAATACAGAATCAACCCCTTCACTGCTAAGTTTCAAGAAGTTCAGTGAATAGAATAGAAACAATATTTTTCTGATTGTTTGGAGTGGAATAGATCTGCACAAGAAGAAAGTGACACTAAGTGTGAGGAGGAAGGGGCTGACAGTCTAAGTTTCTTAAAATATATATATTTTGTTTAGCCAAATTAGTTAACAAACATGGATGTTTAAGCCAATCACATATGCTGGAATGTTATTGTTTCAGTTGAATAAATCTATTTAAATTGTTATTATTAAGGTAATGATTATTTTTCTCCTTCCTAAGTACAACAGAAAAGTTGTCCAAATATGAATGATTAACCTATTAAACTGGGGATAAAAAAACTAATATGAAAAGATGTTATTCTAAAAATCTTCATCTACTTGCATATTAAAGTTATACCAGCAAGAATTAGTCTTTATGTAGAAAAGTAGGATTTACATCAAGCCTTACTGACTAGTGATTTAAATCGGGATTTAAATTGTGATTTAAATCAGTTTGATTTAAATCAAATCCACCCTGTTTGCAGCTCTGCAGTTCTTGTACAACATTGAAAACGGCTAAGGATACCTATAGAGCAGGGGTCTCCAAACTTTCTAAGCAAAGGGCCAGTTTACTGTCCTTCAGGCTTTAGGGGGGCCAGACTGTGGCCAGTGGGAGTAGAAAATAATGTTGTCAGTAGGGGAAATGGTGCTCCATCATTGGTGTAATAGCACCCCAAGTGCCAGATAAGGGCAAGCAAAGAGCCACATCTGGCCCCCTGCCACAGTCGGAAGACCACTGCTATAGAGTCACGTTTCTGAGAGCCAAGTGACTCTGATACACTATTATATTATTATACAGGATTTATATAGCACCAACAGTTTGCTCAGCACATTACAAAGTAAGGGAGACAGTACACTTACAATAAAATTCAATATAAAAGGGTTAGAAGGGCCCTGCTCCTGAGAGCTTACATCTAATACATCTGATTGGACTTATTCTACAAGTGAATTGGACTCTGCAGGTGTGTTTCACTTTTAATCCTGTTTATTCAACTGTTGGTTATTTTCCCCTATCCTTAGGGGTGGCGAAATGCGTCAGTTCAGTTCCACACATTTGAATGTTTCTCATTATAATAGCATCCCTGATTCAGGATATGATTTATGATAATTTTATAATATGTGATACATTGTAGCACAGCACTATTTTTTTCTGATTTAAAGGTTTTTGTTTGTGGAGTCACATTCAGTTCACTGCAGCAACATTAAAACACTGGAAGAATTAATACAAAAAATGTTGTAATTAACGAGGTTGCACAGAGAATACATATTATTAATGCACCTGAGTTGCAGTGCCCTGCAACACATAGCAAGTACATGGAAGTGCATTGCAGTGTAAGCGTTACATAAAATAGGTTACAGCTGATTTTTGGATCATTAGAGTGCATTGGCAGCCCATTCATTTAAATGGGTCACCTGAAAGTATTACTAAACCTGCATTCACTATATCTGGTCTCCCCAGACCCTGCATTCACTATATCTAGTCTCTCCGGAACCTGCATTCACTATATCTGGTCTCCCCGGACCCTGCATTCACTATATCTGGTCTCCCCAGACCCTGCATTCACTATATCTGGTCTCCCCGGACCCTGCAGTCACTATATCTGGTCTCCCCGGACCCTGCATTCACTATATCTGGTCTCCCCGGACCCTGCATTCACTGTATCTAGTCTCTTCGGACCCTGCATTCACTGTATCTGGTCTCCCCGGACCCTGCATTCACTATATCTAGTCTCTTCGGACCCTGCATTCACTGTATCTGGTCTCCCCGGACCCTGCATTCACTATATCTAGTCTCTCTGGACCCTGCATTCACTATATCTGGTCTCCCCGGACCCTGCATTCACTATATCTGGTCTCCCCGGACCCTGCATTCACTATATCCGGTCTCCCCAGACCCTGCATTCACTATATCTGGTCTTCCCGGACCCTGCATTTACTATATCTAGTCTCTCCGGACCCTGCATTCACTATATCTAGTCTACCCGGATCCTGCATTCACTATATCTGGTCTTCCCGGACCCTGCATTCACTATATCCGGTCTCCCCAGACCCTGCATTCACTATATCTAGTCTACCCGGATCCTGCATTCACTATATCTGGTCTCCCCGGACCCTTCATTCACTATATCTGGTCTCCCCGGACCCTGCATTCACTATATCTGGTCTCCCCGGACTCTGCATTCCCTATATCTGATCTCCCACAGTACACACAACATGGAAATGCAATATTTTAGTAAATATAAACTGCCAAATACGTTTTCTCATCAGCCGTTAGAGCGGTCTTGTGACATCTATCAGTGTCCAGCAGAGCACTGGTTAGAGCTTGTAGGAGGAGTTTTCTTTCTGCACTAGGAGGATGCAGAACCCCTGACCTCTGTCTGGACAGTGCTGATTGGCCCTGTGCTGATCACCTGCACCCTCCCAAAAAAGAAAAAAACCTTTCTGGCAATACACACCAAACTGAGCATGTGCAGAGTGCCTACACACGATATGTCTTATCAGGACATAAGGGGGGCGCTCAAAGAAGGGGAGGATCAGAAAAGTCAAGATCAAACATCATTTTTACACAATGCAGAGAATTAACCTCTTAGATTCCACAGTGAGTATAACAAGCATGCTTTCTGCATATCCAGACTGATTTTACTGTTGTGGGTTTAGTAACACTTTAATGCAACCACATAAAATACCACAAAATTGTAAATGGGCCCCTATTGTGAACACTCTCCACAGTCTGCTGAGGAACAGTCCTCTTTACATGGCAATCAGCAAAAGGCAGACATTACAAGCAGCCATAGGGTTTGATCTACTAAAACTGGAGGGTGCAAACTTTGGTGCAGCTTTGCATAGAATTCAATCAGCTTCCAGTTTTGTTTGTCAAATCTTAATTGAACAAGCTGAAGTTAGGCCTGCCATACACTATACAATTTTCTGTCCAATTTCCTTTAGATTTACCTTCAACTATGTAGTGCGAGGGCCTGCCTGATTGGATACAATTGAAAGTGTGTTGTTTAGGTTTGACCTCCTATTATATGGCTTTTGGTAAATCTAAAGCAAAAATCTCAAAAAAATTGTATAATGTATGGCCAGCCTTAGAAGCTGATTGGCTCCCATGCACAGCTGCACCAGATTTTGCAAATAAACCCCATAATGTATAATTTACCAGTTCATACAGAACATGCAGAGGCATCCCTAGGGCTGGTGCCACCCGGTGCGATAACATTTGGTGACACCCCCTCCAACGATCCCCGCAGGATGGTTTGGATGTGCGGATTGAGCATAATGGATCCATTATCCTCCTCAATCCGCAGATCCGATCCATCCTGCGGGGATCCTCAGCATGCAACCTATACGGGGTGACACTAGACCCGCTCCACGAAAAGGTAAGTTGTAAAGCAAGCCACCGATCCCCGCAGGATGGATCGGATCTGCGGACTGGGGAGCATAATGAATCAGACTCCGATCCATTATGCTCAATCCGCAGATCTAATCCATCCTGCGGGGATTGTCGGCTTGCTTTACAACTTACTTTTTCGTGGAGCAGGTCCGGTGTCACCCCGTGCGGTAGGTGTCACCCTGTGCGACGCGCACCCCCCCCACCTGCCTAGGGACGCCACTGAGAACAAGATAGGTAATCGACACATGTTTGGGTAATATCTCCCTGCCCTAACAGACCATTGACATTTTCAGCCTTCAGGGGGTAAGAGCAGGGGCGGACTGACAACTCATGGGGCCCCCGGGCAATAGGGGATCATGGGGCCCCTGTGTCCTTGCCCAAACTCAAAAAAGCCTATGAAAAAGGTACCAGGGGCATCTCATGGGGCCCCCTACTGACCCCGGCCCTCGGGCAGTGCCCGAGTTTCCAAATGGTTAGTCCGCCCCTGGGTAAGAGGCATGCATATCATATTTTGCTCCTCAGGCCTACACTTACCTCACCCAGGTTGAGAGGCGTCTGATCCCGAGAACATTCAGCTAGAAGAACTGGGATGCGGGTCATTTGAGTTTCTCAACTAAATTTTCTCCTCCCGCTCATCAGCTGTCAGTTCTGACATTCTCCGCCTCACCCTAAGGCTGTGGGTTAAAAGAGAAGAATGAATTAGCTGAAATTGATGTGTCCGCGGGCTGGCTGCGCATGTGAGTTTGGCCAACCCTTCCGTTGTAAGAAAGCTGCAAGGGTAAAACGGTGCAAAAAAAAAAAGTGACATTTGTTTCATGAACTGACATTGAGATCCCTGTGCCTGGGCTTACTCACACCGGTCAGGTCGGTTGTGGTGACTTCAATCCACGTTGCGTTAATGCAGCCCTTTCATTTGAATGGGCTTCCTAACGCACCACGACGGACCCAAAAATCGCTCATGCATCATTTTTGTCTACGCATGATAGTATATTACTGTGCTTTGTAGTCCATTGCAGCTCAGGTGTGTACTGAGGTGCCATTCATAGTGAACCCCAACACATGTAAAGTGTACATCCTCACAAGTGAATGGGACATATTTATGAATTGTATATACAGCATGTGCTCAAGAATGCTTAAGAATGTACAAAGTGATGGGTGTATAGCATGCCAACATCCCTTAAGACAGATACACTACACAGGAATTAAAAATATGCAACGTTTGGAATTCTTAAAGCGGAGTTCCACTCACCCTGTCAAAAAATAAAAGTCAGCATTTACAAAAACTATAGCTGCTAACTTTTAAAAAACAGCCACTTACCTGTCTCTCGGTCCCGTGGTGTGTCCCCCCCGCAGCCCGTTTCACTGGCCGTCCTGTATTCCAGGAGGTCGGCATCTTCAGTGTGGGCACCCGGCTGTGACAGCTTGCGGCTTCACAGCCGGGTGCCCACTGTGCATGCGCGAGTAGCGCTGCGCTTCATGAATGGTCCTGTAGTCTTCTGGGACCTGTCACGTGTCAGGGAGGGAAGGAGGGAGGACATCTTCCATTTCCGATTGCCTAGGTGATCAGACCGGAAATGACCCCCGCCCCCCAAAGGTGCCAATCCTTAATGGGGAGCGGAACTTCCCCTTTTGGGTGGAGCTCTGCTTTAAGCACATCAAAAATATTTCCATAAAATAAATGTGATTGTTTGTTTAACATTATTAAAACAAGCATAAAACATCATGACTGACATTATTGTTACATCTGATCACCCTGTAAGCTTCCTGGAGTAGAACCCACAGGGAAGTAGGGGTCCATCGGGTGACCGGTGCTGAGACAGGAGGGCGCCTACTCCCGTCTCAGATGCATCAACCTCGAGGACAAAAGGCAACCCAGGATTGGGATGAGACAGTATCGGAGCCGAAGCGAAGGCGGATTTCAGAGCTTCGAAAGCTAAGATGGCCTCGAAAGACCACTCGTGGGGATTACTGCCCTTCTCGGTCAGATCTGAGAGAGGCTTGGCCAGTGTGGAGAAGTTCCTGATAAACTTCCGATAATAGCTGGCGAATCCCAAAAAGCGCTGAATGGACTGAAGACCAATGGGACAAGGCCACTGCAGAACCACCGAAACCGTCTGAGGGTCCATGGAAAATCCCACAGCGGAAATGATGTAGCCCAAAAAGGCAACCTGGGATCGGTGAAATTCACACTTCTTGAGCTTATAGAAAAGCTCGTTCTCACGTAACCGTTGCAGCACCTGCTTAACATCCTGGATATGAGATTCCATAGACGTAGAGTAAACCAGGATGTCGTCCAACTAAACCCCCACGCACTGCTGCAACAAGTCACGGAAGACATCATTAGTGAACTCCTGAAAGACCGCGGGCGCGTTACACAACCCGAAGGGCATAACCAGGGATTCATAGTGGCCGGTTCTGGTGTTGAACGCGGTCTTCCACTCGTCACCCTCTTTGATCCGTACAAGGTTGTACGCAGCCCTAAGGTCGAGTTTAGTAAAGACCGTTGCTCCCTTGAGGTGGTCGAACAAATCGGTAATCAACGGAATTGGGTAAGCATTCTTAATCGTGATTCGATTGAGACCCCTAAAATCAATGCAAAGTCTCAATTAACCACCCTTCTTTTTCACGAAGAAAAAGCCAGCTCCTGCTGGAGAAGTAGACTTGTGAATGTGCCACCGGGAAAGCGCATCCGGAACGTACTCCTCCATGGCCTGATTCTCTGCAACCGAAAGAGGATACACCCTGCCACGCGGAGAAGTGGCAAAGGGTTGTAAGATTATGGCACAATCGTATGTACGATAAGGAGGCAGAGCACCGGCGCCCACCTTGTCAAACACGTCCAGGTACTCCCCATAGTCAGTAGGCAACGCAGAGTCCGAGGAGGCATACAACACCTTAACATGCTCATGGATGCAACCGGCCCCACACTGTGGAGATCACGAGTGAATCTCGGCCGACCGCCAGTCAAAGGTCGGATTGTGCTTCTGAAGCCAGGGATATACCAAAACCACGGAGTAGTGCGGGGAAGAAATTACCTGGAAACAGGCCAACTCCCTGTGAACAGCCCCAATAGCTACTTCTACTGGCAGGGTCTCATGGGTAACCTACGGCGATTGCAGGGACCTGCCATCTATCGCCTCGAGGACCAATGGAGTAACTCGAGCCTGCAGAGGAATGGAGTACTGGGCAGCAAACGAACTGTCCATAAACAACCCGTCTAACAACGCCTGGGCCGTCACCGAGCCTTCCGCCCAAGAGAGGACAATGGTGATTAGCGGTTTATCTTTGCGGGAAACCGGGGACAAGGAAACTCCACCCAAGATCTGCCCCTAGCAGGATCTCAGGTGTGGGCGTTTCCTGGACGGACCGCACAGGACTGCCAAAAATGCCCACTGAGACCACAGTACAGGCAGTGACGCTCCCGACGCCGGGAGGCCCGCTCCCCCTCGGAAAGGCGAGCAAACCCCAGCTGCATGGGCTCACTACCAGACAAGCCATCCCCAGGAGGCATGGGAGGAGAGGGAGGAACGGGTGGAACAGAAAACGTAGGCACCAATCGGTTAGGAGGCCTCCGCAGACACTCCTTAAATGAAGGCCTCTCCCTGAGCCTGGTGTCAATCAGGATTAGGAAGGAAATGAGTGCC